TAGTTCAATTCAAAAATATATAAATAACTAGCCGTCCAATAAGATTAATTCAATGCATACAAATACCAAAAAATAGATATTAATATTGCAGCAAAACTACATAAAGTATATTCATTTGTTTCAAATTAAAATGGGCTAATGAATTTTAAAAATGATTTGGGCTTTAAAATTAAAATTATGAAATAATCTAATTTATTTAATTAATTTGCTAATTTGTATAAAAAAAATAAAATAATTTAATTAATTCAATATAAAAAATAAAAAAAATATTTAGTTTCGATTCATTTTCGGTTCTTGGTCTAGACCCGAGACCCGACCCAAATCCATCGGTTCTCGATTCGGGTACCCGTTCGGGTATTTAATTTATGAAGAACCGCTCGGTTCGGTTCGGGTTCGGTTCGGTCCGGTCCGGTCCGGTTCGGGACTTTTGGACACCCCTAGTGGTGGCGATTTACTGTGGTGGTGGTGGAGGTGTCGGCACAGAGGAGGATGTCAGTCGTGTGTCGGCGGTGGTTTTCTTTTTCTTTTCTTTTTTTAAATTTTTTATTCAATTATCCTTTTATTCAATTATTTTAATAAATATTTACTATTTTACTCCCTTTTAATTGATTAAAAATATGGTCAAAATTATTTTTTTTGGGTCAACTAACGGAAAAATGGATGGAAACCATCCAAAATGGCATCACATGCAATGGTTGGAATGGTTAGGGACTATTGCAACAAATCATAAGTTTGAGAAAAGTTTGTTAATATTTCAAAAGTTTGGAACTTTTGCTGCAATTATCCCTAATTCTAATACTCACATTCAAGTATGCATTTTACTATTTACGTGCATATATAATAATTAACATTTATTTTCAGGGTTTTGTATTTTTCTATCTAGTACCGACTTGCCTTTGTATGCTCGTGGCCTTGTTCGGTTGGACTGCATAGGATTTCCCTATATACGTAAGTAAGTTGATGGGTCAAGTTTTTTCTTTTTGAGTTTGCTATTTGTAAGGTTATCTTACCATAAGTGATGGTTGTTTTCAATAAAGAACACTAATCACTTTGAAAAAAAAAGGTCAGGTTTCTTTGTTGATAACCATTAAAAATTTTATATTAATAAATTCAATTTGTGGAAAAAATTTTGTTACTAAATAAAGTGACAAAAATGCAACAACAAATATTACAAATGGAAAATTGCACAGAACAACAATTGAAAATAATAATATAAGATTAATAATGAAGTTTTTGTCGAGGGATTTTCTTTGTAATAATTGTCTCAATAAATTTAATTATCGATGTAATTTCATCGCTTAATAAAGTAAAAGAATATTAAAAAAAAATGAAATAGTGATATATAGATGTCAAATAAAAATTACAAAATATAATATTACCAACTATTTTTCAATTATAACGTTTGGAAACATAAATAGTAAATACTAAATAGATTACTTTTCAAATTTTGCCAAGGTTTGGTTCCATTTTTAAAAAATTATTTTTCTTTAAATTTATTTTTTTACCACACATTTATGAGACCCACAACTCTTATAAACTTCTCAATCACATTTCATTAACTTTTATTAAAATTTCCTAAAACATTTATTTTTAGGTAATTAACCATGGACTTAATTCAACAACAAACTATGTAAAAAAAAAAAAAATCATGTAATTTTTTTTTTTTTTTTTTTACGTATTAGCCCGGCCTGTAATCCAATTCTGAATCCGTTCCTGATCAAGGGTGAACTCAATGAAGGCCAAGTGCATGCATATGCCTGTGCTGAACTTTGGGTCACCCCATTTAAGAATATAAGAGTAGCCCACTTAAGCTTAAAAAAAAAAAATGTTTCTTTGTGATTTATTAAATTCAAATTCTGGATTTTCTGGCAAACTGATTTTCTTATTCATAAGGGCGTAGTTCTCGACGTGGGAGGTTAAGTGAGGTCAATTGTTCCAGGAGTGGTTAATTGAGGAATATAATAATTTCAAATGTCAAACGGGAAAAGTTCCTATTGAAAGTCTAGTAAAGATCTTAGAGCTTCTTTTTAGAAGTAGGGATTTGTTTTAAGATTAGCATTTTCAATATTGTGAAGGATAGATTGCGCAATCGGATTGGAGATAAATGAGTAAATGATAACCTTATTGTTTATGTGGAGAAAGATATATTGTTAAAGGTTGAAATGAAATGATTGTACAAAGATATCAAAATATGAAAACCCGTAAAGAACAATTAAAAGATATTTCATTTTAAGTATAATGTTTGTGTTATAATGTTATTTTTTTTTTTGACATTTACTAACATCGCTCACACTAAAAAATTTTCCAGATCCGTCCCTATTGGTCATCAACAATCGAAGTATCACTGATGGTTCTTAACATTACTGGCGATGTTGTCGTTGATAATGGTAGACGAAATATCATTGACGACATCATCAATCTCTGCACATTTGCAAAGTCGAGAACCAATTTCAAAAGAAATTTTTTTCCGACTCCCTTGTGCTAAATCACGAGCTTCGTAAACACGAGCAAGCCCGACTGTTTCAAATAAATATGTTTTGCCTTTCAGCTTTAACATGTGCTCTAATGTGATCACACAACCCACTTACAAGGCTACTCACTTGTTGAACATGAGGAAGATGACCAAACTCTACCAAAAGCTTCTCAAATTGAGTTCGGTAGTCTTGTTCATTCCCGTTTGTTGCAATCTACTCAACTCCCCAAAGAAATCATAGAATAAATTTTGTCTGAAATAAGAGAGAATCCATTTTCTAAGTCACTTCATGTAAGATTTTTAGAGTCTTAATTCAATAATTGATAGCGTAACTAGGCATGATATTCAAGATGATATGATGCTAATGCCACACTAACCTCCTTTCGAGTATTTAAAATTGAAAACCTTGCTCAGCATGACATAACTGTTGATAAAAAATGGATTTGAGTGATGATTTTAAAACCAAAACTTACCAAATTTGAAAAGAGTAACAAGAAATTGAAGAATAAACCACGAAAATGATATTAGAATGCCGATGAAAATGGACAAAGTAACATCACGAAAGTAAAAGAAAAGTCGAGGCAAGAGTTGAATAATTTATCCTTAAGTCGAATTTACCCCCGCAACGGTGCCTACAAATGTTGGCAATCAACTTTCAAGATATAATGACTATCTTCTTGTGTTTGTAGCACTCCAAAACACAAGAACAACGGACCAAAAGATATGTTTATGTACTCCTTTTGAATGACGAGGAAAAATAGCTTTTATGCAGAGTTATAACTAAGAAAAGATAAAATTTTATGTTATGCTATGATTTCATATCATTTGGATGAAGTAATGGATGTCTCGAGGATCTTATTTAAAGAGGAGGAGATGTTGTGAGTGAAAAGACGTGCTTCAAAACATACCAACATTTGTCAAATGTTGCAACTTTTGCTATCGCTCGAGCTTCAGAAACTGAGAGTTTGTTGCTCAAGCAATAGCCTTACCGCTCGAGCACTACGCGAGTGGCGAAGTTAGACAATTTTCAACCAATTTTCCTCTCTTTCCTTTCCAACTTTGAATCACAATTTTTCATTTATCAGAAATAGATTTTGAGATTCCAAATATACCACAACGATCTACTTGACGAGTAGAACGAGTGAATTTATTTATTCCCATAATTTGACTATTGGATAGAATTCGAATATTTGACCGAAGTTGACATGACTTTTCCATAATTTTATACTTAGACCATTTTCAACAATCCCCCACATAAATGAAAATTCTATAATATGCAATATATTATGCAAATGATATATATAATCTAACAAATCAGTACATACGACAAGTTATAATATCAGGATAGATGGCTTGTGATTTTGAACATTCCTTAGTTGAATACAATCGAGTTTACTAAACTAATTGGTGAACGCGATGTTTTGAACCATTCAGCCGTTCATGTAAATCAAAACAACTGTACCAACACCATAACTCATCTAACCACTTTGATTCTCATGATTGTGTTCATTTTAGTCCTCGTGATTTTATAAGTGCTTTAAGAGAATTGAAGTCTCAAATTCTCGTAGAAACAGCCCACCTTTTATTCTAGCACTTTAGGCCTGTTGGAATGGGAGTGAGTGTTTTACCCTGAATTTTGTATAAGTCTCATTGAACCAAGATATTGAGATTTCCAATCTACAAGGTTGGGTTTCCGCAATGGTGATTCCCTTCGATAGGTTTTATGCTCATTCTCCTCGAAAGATGGTATTCTTGATCTCTTATTACTCATTTCATTTGAGAATCCGTTATATTTTCCTTTGATTTAACATAATTTTTACAACTTTATTAATTTTGAAAATGTAACTTGAAATATTCGTAGTTATGTAATTATCCAGTATTGAAACCATGGTTTTGAGTAATTGTTCCGACCAATATTGTGGTTGAAGCTCCATTGGGCCAAGATCTGTTTGGCCGCGTCTTTCAGGAACAAATCCCATCGTACAAGAGAATTGTTTACAGGCTTTACACAGTTGCTACGTCTATTTTTTTTAAACTGTCCAATGAAATCACACCACGTCTTCAGTAGGAAAAATTCTATGAAATATCCAAGTACATGTAGCATTGTTTGTCATTTAGTGGGGCCAATCTTATTACCAAGCCTACTTTTTCAGTAAATGGGCCCCAAATGACTGAATTGATCAATACCGAATCTTCAGGAACCAGTTCGAAACCTCCAAAAAGTAAAACGTCAAGAAATATATTAGGGACCTAAATCGCACAAAAGGCATAGGTTAGACACCATTTGTGCTAAAATTTCTTATTTGGGAGTTTCCTTTCCGCTGGTTCTTGAATACGAAAATTGATAAAAATAAACCAGCAAACGACCGCCATTAGTTTCTCCAATTTTACTCTTCCGATCCATTACAAATAATGCAAATAGACATTTAAAAATTATAATCACAATTAACAGCTATAATCATTGATTTCTTCCACGATCCATTTCTATCGAAGGGCGAATTTACAGAATTTACGGTGTTGCAGTGAAATGGTTAAATCCGAAACTGAGAGCAAAATTCGAGTAAACCCTTGGAGGACTTGGATTATTATTGGCGCTCTCATTGTTCTTCTCTTCGCTATCGTATTCGTTCCGAGAAATTTTCACAACACCAATCTCTTCAATCGCATCAGAAACTGTAATTGTTCTCAGGTGACTTAATAATTTATGGATTTTCTCACAATTAGAACTATCCTTGGAACAGAAATTTCTGTACTAATTTATGTCCTAAATCATTTTTTTTTTGTAAATCTAATTTAAAGATAATATTGGCTGCTATTCTATCCAATTGTTCAAGTTTATTATCTTTTTATGGGAAGATTCCTCTATTTTTTTTTCCATTCTCACAATGCTATTAAAATACTATTTAATTGTAACCTGCTGATTTGGAATCACCCATGAAATAAGTAACTTCTTTTTGCAAATTGATTTGACTAAAAATATTTTTGACCTAATGGTTGCTTTAATATGTTAATTTTCAAAAATGTAAGAGAAAATATTAGATCAAGTGATGACTTGAATTTAAAGTCTTGGATTTCCATTTTTATTTGGAAGTTTTCAATTGTCACGTTCTTTATCCATGGAAATATGTGTTTGTGCATATAGCAAGGGCTTAAGTACTATGGGATAGTGGAGGATTGCTGTTGTGATTATGAGACTGTAGATCGGATTAATGAGGACGTGTTGTATCCATTGCTCCACGAGATTGTGAAATATCCATTTTTACGATACTTTAAGGTACGCAAAGTTCTATTATGAATATTGTATGGTTTTGAATTCCGTATGTATCCTGGCGACTGATTTTCTTTCACTGTGATAGGTCAAGTTGTGGTGCGATTGCCCTTTCTGGCCTGATGATGGTATGTGCCGTTTGAGGGACTGCAGCGTATGTGAATGTCCTGAGAATGAGTTTCCTGAAACATTTAAGGAGTCCTCTTCCCATAGCCACTCATCAGATGATATTGTCTGTCAAGAAGGAAAGCCAGAAGCTACTGTTGATCGTACAATAGATACTAAAGCTTTCCGAGGCTGGATAGTTGAAGACAATCCATGGACAAATGATGATGAGACAGATACTGGTGCTTCTTATTACTTTTTCCCATTTTTTTTTTTTTTTACATTTTTAAATGTTATATAGTTCCTCCCCCACCCCCACCCCCAACGCACAACACATTCTATATCTGAAGGCCCTCGATATAAACCTTGCAAAAGAAATCCCGTACTTGTATTTACTATTCTTCCTATCTGTCCACCACATCTTCTAGTCTGCATGCTTCTCACCTTCACAATTGGGATAATTTGTCCGATTCTTATATCTTTAGGACGTAGATCCTTAATACAATCCTGTCATCCATTTCTTTAGTTATGATGTGAGATTCATGTGCTTTAATCTTGAATTAACAGCTTTTGATTTTGTTGATTACAGATGAAATGACCTATGTAAATCTGCAACTGAATCCTGAACGCTACACTGGCTATACTGGTCCATCTGCTAGAAGAATCTGGGATTCTATTTATACAGAGAATTGTCCCAAATGTAAGTCATATACCACGTGAATTTAAAGTTATTGAAAGAAAAAAAAAAGGATCATCTTTTTGTAACCGATATTTGAAACAGGATGGGGTTGGGATCATCTTGTCCTAAAAGAAGTAATTGAAAATATTGGTTTGGAGGCTGAAGCTGCTCTAACTTTATCCATGGATGATCAGTTCTAGCCTATGATTTATATCTTACTATTGCGTTCATCCGTACATTGGCAAACTTATATTTTAAGTTTTCATGCTATAGGGAAGAAAAGTTGATTACTATTTAAGTTTGTAGCAAGGCACTTTCCTAGCTAACTTCCCTGGATAAAAGTTCATTCGTTATTAACTGGTAGGGGATTAGCAGAGGGCGTGCATAAGGGAAAATTTCAGATGAAACCATATTCTAATGTTTAATTTGCCTGTAGTTTTATGTTTACTTATTGCTTACATGAGTAGAAATCATTTTTTTTAGTGTTTGTTTGTTGGTGTGGGCTTGAGTTTTCTTACTGATAATTGATATGCTCTGTAGATCCATCTGGAGAGTGCCAAGAGAAAAGAATATTGTACAAGTTGATATCTGGTCTTCACTCCTCCATTTCAATCCACATAGCCGCTGATTACCTGCTTGATGAAAAAACAAACAAGGTATTTTCTATTGCAATTGACTTGTATGCTTTTGTTTTGTGTTACGCGACTGCCTTGTTTTGGAAATTTGTCCTACACGAATGTTCATGTCAGATACAGGATGATTCATTTATCCAGATTAATTGTTAGGAAGATTTGACTCTGAAAGTTCTTAATCTATATATACCTTATAGAAATATGATGACTTGGGATAAAGGACTTGGTTATTGTGCCTCAAAGTTAGTGGCGAACCCAGCGCTGGGCCGGGGGGATGCTGGGCTCCGCAGGAAGAATTTTTGGGAAGAATATGGCAGGCGGGTGGACGACGCTGTTCGTCTTCTCCGGTTTCTTTCTTTTCTGGCTTTCTGCTACTAGGGCAGGGGGCTGGTTCTTGTAGAAAATCGTGTATAATGGAAAGATATAAAAATCTTTCCATTCTTGGTGCAAATAAATAATTATAGACTGTGATTATTAGGAGATTTATTTTTTTCCTTTTTTAGTTCCATTATTGTATTATATAAAGAGATGTAAGTTTGGAATTTAATATAATGTGATTCACAAACATTCTCTCTCGTTTTTCATGGTATCAGAGCCTAGGGTTGCTCAAACCTAGCAATCTATGGCTGAATTTCCCGTCACAGTTCGGGGTCAGTCATCTCCGACACCCCTCAAGTCGAAACAGAGTTTAACTCCACAATTGGTTCTCACGGTTTGGAGAACTCGTCTTTTCACCCCACAGTCGAATAATTGAACGGAAGGAATTATCGTGAATGGGCTCAATCAATAAAACTAGTGATTGATGGAAAAGGGAAGCTGGGATATCTTACCGGCAATTCGAAGAAACCATCAGACGCAGCACTTCTTCAACGATGGAATTCAGAGAACTCCTTGGTCATCGCCTGGCTGGTAAACTCCATGAAACCAGCAATAGGGAAGACCTTCCTGTTTCT